AAAAAAAAAAAAAAAAAATTACGTAATCAAACAAAAGGACCTACCATTTAGGTTAACGAATTAATGTAACAAATAAACAAAGCCATTCCAGATATCTTTAATAATAATAATAACAATAATAAGAGCATGCTGACTTTTCACTCTTTCTTGGCTGATTTTTAGATCGAAGTGGACATATCACCCAAGTGATTAAACCCCATTAAGCAAATAATAATAAAACAGCGAGAAGAAAAAAAATATATCAACTTTATCTCCATTTCCCCATAAAAAAAAACATCATAGCAAGCCATGAAAAGTAATTCAGCCATGAAAAGTACCGGAAAATGTTACGGTCCCGATACGGAATCGTTAAGGGCGGATTCAGAGATTTTTCTTTGGGGGACTGGAGTTGTTTTAGAAATGAATTGTTTGTGAACAAAGTTGATTTGACCAATGAAAGTATGAGCTCATCTATGTATTTAAACGAGCTAAGATGAAAAACTAATTGAATTTGTTTATTAACCGAAACGAGCTCAAGCTCTCATTTTCGTTCGTTTATTAAATGAGTGAAGCTGGGACGATTTATTTATTAGGCAAAATGAGCTTCATCATGAGGTGTTTATCTTTGGCTTGACTCATCTTTAATAACACCTCAGACGGAATATCTAATTTTTAATATATTGCACATCTATGTATATATAAAGCATTAAATTTTATTATAAAATGAATAAAATAAATAATAAATATGCTCTAAAAAAGATATAAGTTTGGAATTTTATATTTCAATATTCACTTCAAGTAAGCTCTATAATATGAAAGGAAAAACAACAAATATTACATTTGAAGAGGGTGAGAATTTACTTAAAAAATATAATGTAGTTATAAAGGATTATTAGATAGACCATACTAATAGTTAGTACTACCTCCTATTCTTTTTAAATGTCATTTGGCATTATCGACTATTAACAAAATAAATGTCGTTTTGGATATTTTGTATATATTTTTCCATCATTACCCTCCTCTAGCTAATAAATACACTACGTTATTTCATATTTACTCTTCATCTTTTTTCAAAACATTCATCTCTATCCTCATTAATTAGGGTTATTATTGGCAAAAATAATATTCTTAATAAGTGTGCAACTTTCTAAAACGACACTTATTATGAACAGGAGGAAGTAATAATTATGGGATACATGTATAAATTCAATATAATAATAATAGGTATTACATATTTTAGGTAGTAATGAGTATATATATAAAAGAAAAGATAAAAAATTTGGAGGGGAGGG